CCGCAGGGCTCCCTGAGTTTTCCAGCGCATTGCTAAGCTCTGCCGTGCTACATGGGGTTCCAGGCCATTAAATGCACTTGGTGTACATTAGACTCTTATACACTGCTCATCAGCATCCTGATTCTTGAATCGTGTGGCAGGCCCTGACCTTTGTAACCTTTTGCTGTCAGGCTTCAGTGGGCATTGGTAGATCTGAAACACCTGGCCCTTCACCTCTGTCTTTCCCCAGGATGGGAGCCACCGTTTTTGTCCAGCCCCTGGACCTGGTGAAGAATCGGATGCAGCTGAGCGGTGAAGGGGCCAAGACTCGAGAGTACAAAACCAGCTTCCATGCCCTCACCAGCATCCTAAAGGCAGAAGGCCTGAGGGGCATTTACACCGGGTATTGGGGCCTCAGGTTGGGAAGTAGGCTATGGGTTGGCAGCTCCAGACCTCGGCCTGATGTGCTGACCCCTCTGCTCCTCAGGCTGTCAGCTGGCCTGCTGCGCCAGGCCACCTACACCACCACCCGCCTTGGCATCTATACCGTGCTGTTTGAGCGTTTGACTGGGGCTGATGGTACACCTCCTGGCTTTCTGCTGAAAGCTCTGATTGGTATGACTGCAGGTGCCACTGGTGCCTTTGTGGGAACACCAGCCGAAGTGGCTCTTATCCGCATGACTGCCGATGGCCGGTGAGTTCCAAGTCTGAGCCTAACGCCAGCCCCATTCCCTGGAATCTAGAGTAAAAGGACCAGTATTTTATGCTAGATCTAGAGGAGAGCTTTTACCTGTTCAGGCCTTCCTTTCTTTGCTCCTGTGGGCTATCCTGTTCTTGACCTCTTCCTGCCTTCTCACCAGTCTTCCAGCTGACCAGCGCCGTGGCTACAAAAATGTGTTTAACGCCCTGATTCGAATCACCCGGGAAGAGGGAGTCCCCACACTGTGGCGGGTGAGTGAAAGGGCTAGAGACTTTGGGGATGTGAGGTCAGGTTTTAGTTATTTCTGACTCTTCCCCTGCTCCCCTACCTCCAGGGTTGCATCCCTACCATGGCTCGGGCTGTTGTCGTCAATGCTGCCCAGCTCGCCTCCTACTCCCAATCCAAGCAGTTCTTACTCGACTCAGGTGAGACCCAGAGCTGGGCCCTTAGCTTCCAGCCTGGCCTGAGCCACCTCTGAGCTGACTGCCACCCCTGCTTCACCTCCCTCAGGCTACTTCTCTGACAACATCTTGTGCCATTTCTGCGCCAGCATGATCAGTGGTCTTGTCACCACTGCTGCCTCCATGCCTGTGGACATTGCCAAGACCCGGTGAGCGTGCAGGCCTGAGCCTGGAGATGGGTGGGAGGGTTTCCTTTCAGTCTCTCATGCCCTTGTCTCCTTCCCTTCAGGATCCAGAACATGCGGATGATTGATGGGAAGCCAGAATACAAGAATGGCCTGGTGAGGAAGCTATTCTGGGGGCCTGGGAGGGGGTGTCAGATGCCCTGGGAAAGCTGTGAAGGCAGCTGGGTAAGGGGAATGGGGCCCTAGAGTCCAGGTCCTAGCCTCAGCACCCCGCCTGTCTGTGTGTCTAGGATGTACTATTCAAGGTTGTCCGCTACGAGGGCTTCTTCAGCCTGTGGAAGGGCTTCACACCGTACTATGCCCGCCTGGGCCCCCACACCGTCCTCACCTTCATCTTCTTGGAGCAGATGAACAAGGCCTACAAGCGTCTCTTCCTCAGTGGCTGAAGCAGCAAGGGGCACCCACTCATCTGTTGCGCCTACAGCCACTGCGGCCTGGGCTCTGCTGCCCTGGACCCCTCTATTTATTTCCCCTCCACAGTGTGGTTTTTTTCTTCTGTGGTAAAGGACTTGGTCTATTCTACCCCCTGCTCTAGCTTGCCCTGCTCGTCCTGATCCTGTGACTTCTCTGTCCCTGGCTGTTTCTTGTGGGGAGCTGGAAAACTTCCTCAGGATTTCTGGCCTCCTCTTGGATGTTAGTTTCAGGGCATACAGGACAGCAGAAAGATCCCCCTTTTCAGTGGGGAAATCAAGGTCGAGCTGAGGGGACAGGGAAGAGCAGAAGCTATCAGGATCGCCAAAGGGGCTACAGGGGGAGATGTCGCCCTTCCTCCCTGTATAATAAATTGGATTGATGACACCAGCCCCAAATCTGCAGAGTCTGGGGGGTGACTAGGAAAGGGGAGGAGACTGGACAAAGAAGCTAGTGCCCCTGGAGAATAGGAACTGGAGTTTTGTTTTTTTTTTTTTTAATGACTCGGTTCCAATGAAGGAACTGGAGTTTTTAAGAAAAATTAAAGAAAAAGCACCCGCTGGTTTTGTGCAAGTGCTGTGTAAATCTGTCATGCTACAGCAGCTGATAGGGCCAGGGAAACTCAAATCCCAGGCCCGGTGTGTTGCCTTTAGCCACCTGCCCAAGAATGCCACAGATGCACAGATCATCTCACATAATCCCCAGGAAAAGCCCCTGGGTCTGATGACTGCATCTGCAGCCTAAAGAGGGAGGAAATAAAGAGACTCTGAGAGAAGTCTGAGAGAGGAGACTATTGCGGGCTAGAGCCAGTCGAGGTGGAGGGCCAGGGCTTATGAGGGTAGGAACTAGAAGCTTGAGGAAAGGGGGATACTGGCCAGAGACCAGATCCTGGGTCCTTGGGTGGGGAGAGTGAGAACCTTATCCGTTTCTTCAGAAGGAGATGTGTGGTTCCCAGGCCCAGCCCTCAAGGAGCCTTAAAACCTCTTAGGGCATGAAAGAGCTTGGGAAGGTCAAATTGAGGAGTGCTGGCCAGGTCAGGGGACAGGCAGGCAGCAGGTGGGAGCTGTCCCTTTGGCAGAGCCTCATCAGCAGAAGAGGTGGAGCTCAGCATCCTGGCTCTCCTGTTGCTGCTTCTGTGTACACTATGTCCTGGGCCTTGGTGGCTATTGTGAGACACCTAAAGCCTAGACCTTGTCCTTAAGGAGTTCCTGATCCAGAAGACAGGATTATGCAGGAGCAGATTGGGAAACGGAGTGTAGCAATAGTGGTGCAGGGTAACCGGGAGCACCTGCCCTCACCTGGGAGAAGTGACTTGCACACTGAGTGGTTAGACTGGCTGGGGACGGGGCAAGGACAGCACACCTGGCTGGACTGAGGGCAAAGGCTTAGAGTAAAACACTGGGGGAAGCAGGTGATCTATAGGTTTGTGATATTTGGAGCACAGGCTGTGTGGTATCTGCCTTGAGAGATGGCGCAGGACTGTCAGGTTGTGTCAGCGCATGGCGCTCTCTGACTGCCAAGCTCAGGAGTTGGTCCTCCACCTGGGAAGAGATGCAGTCAGACATCAGATCCTTCCAGGACCATTGGAGAGGGATGGGGGTCTCCATAGTCCTATTCTCTGGGCCCCAAGCCCTGGATTGGGCTAGAGACAAGGCAAGAGAGGAAGTGACACCAATGCATTTAGGGAATGGCAGGATCTCTGGGAAGAGAAATAGGGTTCCATTTGCCTGTGTCCCAGCCTGAGAGTAGGAAACCCAAGACTGTTCAGTCACACCAAGATGGCTGCAGGGTCCATCCCTTGCTATCCTGCTGACCTGGGCAGTGAGGAGAGCTGCACTTCTGAGGCTGCAGGTGCAAGCAAGTACTCACTTTTGCACCAGTATTGCAGGCTACTGGCAGATAGGTCTCAGCAGTTGCTATTAAACTTCAGGGAGACTTTTTTTTTTTTTGAGACGGAGTTTCACTCATGTTACCCAGGCTGGAGTGCAATGGCACGATCTCGGCTCACCGCAACCTCCGCCTCCTGGGTTCAGGCAATTCTCCTGCCTCAGCCTCCCGAGTAGCTGGGACTACAGGCACGCGCCACCATGCCCAGCTAATTTTTTGTATTTTTAGTAGAGACGGGGTTTCACCATGTTGACCAGGATGGTCTCCATCTCCTGACCTCGTGATCCACCCGCCTCGGCCTCCCAAAGTGCTGGGATTACAGGCGTGAGCCACTGCGCCCAGCCCAGGGAGACAATTTTTGAACTGGATCTGATGCCTGGCGTGGCCTGGTGGGTGGCCACCCCTGGAAGAGAGAAGGAGGCAGCCCAGGCAGGGGAAGTGTAGGCTATAACTGGAAGTCTATTGAATGAGTAGTTGTAACCAGGGTAGGGGCAGTTGGGACTTTGTGAATTCTCATGACAGGCGTCCCAGACACTTCACCAAAAGAAACCAAGTTGTTTTGAGACAGGGTCTCACTCTGTCACCCAGGCTGGAGTAGAGTGACAAAATTACAGCTCACTGCAGCCTCCATCTCCCAGGCTCAGGTGATCCTCCCACCTCAGTCTCCCAGGTACCTGGGACCTCAGGTGCAAGCCACTAGACCTGGCTAATGTTTTGTATTTTTTATAGAGATGGGATTTTGCCATGTTGCCAAGCCTGGTCTTGAACTCCTGGGCTCAAGCAATCTACCCGTCTGCCTGCCAGAGTGCTGGAATTACAGGTGTGAGCCCCTGCACCCAGCCAGAAACTAAGTTTTTGTTTTGTTTTGTTTTTTGAGATGGAATCTCATTCTGTCGTCCAGGCTGGAGTCTAGTGGCGCGATCTCAGCCCACTGCAAACTTCACCTTCCAGCTTTAAGTGATTCCCCTGCCCCAGCCTCCCGAGTAGCTGGGATCACAGGCGTGCACCATCACACCCAGCTAATTTTCGTATTTTTAGTAGACACAGGGTTTTGCCATATTTGCCAGACTGGTCTCCAACTCCTGACCTCAGGTGATTCACCTGCTTTGGATTCCCAAAGTGCCGGGATTACAGGCGTGTGAGCCACCACACCTGTTTTGTTTTTTATATAACATTGTTACATATATATAGATATATGTTTTGTTATACATATATTTATTATTTTGGTTTTTTTGAGGTGGAGTCTTGCTCTGTCACCAGGCTGGAGTGGAGTGGCACCATCTTAGTTCACCACAACCTCCGACACCCTGATTCAAGCGATTCTTCTGCCTCGGCCTCCCAAAATTCTGGGATTACAGGTGTGAGCCATCACTCCTGACTCTAAAATTATTTTTTATTATACAGATAATATACAATAATGGTAGAAAACTAGAAAATGCTAAACAGGGAAAAAGAAAACCATCCATATATATAACATCCAGACACAATCAGTGCTCACATCCTGATAAACTGCTTTCCAGATTTTCTTCTGTGCATAGATGCCCCATGCAGCATAGGGAGCTTTGTTCTGTGACCCACCCAACTCCATGTCACTATCCCTTCTGCTTTGCTGGGACTGAATTTGTGTGCCTGTGGTGTGAAGAGAGGGCTTCTGATACAGGAAAAGGAATTAAGACCTCCCCATGACCCCATGTTTCTTACCCACCCAACCCCAGCCAGATCCCAATAGGAGAGTCCACAGGAGCCTCTCCCAAGGTCCCCAAACTTCCCACCCTCAGAGGCTGTGGCCAGAGTACCTAATGCTCACTGTGCCCAGCAGGTCCTGACCACGACCCTGACTCAGAGCTGAGGGCCTTCTTCCTGCCACTAGAGGCCCCATTCGGCCATTAGGCCGTACCCACAGGAAGAGACTGGAGCGGAAAGTGGGGAGCGCGCCTTGAAGGAAGAGCAGCCAGGCCCGGGGCACTGTCACTTGCCTTCCTCTCTGCAGCTCCAGATGTGTGGTTTGCATGGCTGTGGCCAGAGCAACACCCTCGCCGGAGTCCAAGGCCTGTGGTTTCACATGCCCAACCCAGGTCAGCAGCAGGATGAGGACCACACAGGCCAAGAACAGCCAGAGGAGACCCAAGACATAGAAGCCCAGGGGGAGGAGGCAGCAAATGTCAGGGTGGAGAAAAGGGTCATTTCTGGAGCTGTCAAAATGCCCTTGGGCCACCCCACGGACCTTTGGTTGCTTCTCAAATTCAGCGATGTTTTTTTTGGTGGGTTCTAAGAGTGAGATGGGTTTTGTGGTAGTTAAGAATATGGTGATTTTTGGGGTGGTCAGTGTTGTGGATTTTGGAGTGGTCAGGCTTGAGGCAGGCTCTGGGGTGATCAGGATTGTGGCGGGCTCTGGGGTGGTCGGGCTTGTGGTGGGCTCTAGGGTGGTCACGCTTGAGGCGGGCTCTGGGGTGGTCGGGCTTGAGACGGGCTCTGGGGTGGTCGGGCTTGTGGCGGGCTCTGGGGTGGTCGGGCTTGTGGCGGGCTCTGGGGTGGTCGGGCTTGTGGCGGGCTCTGGGGTGGTCGGGCTTGAGGCAGGCTCTAGGGTGGTTGGGCTTGTGGTGGGTTCAGTAATGGATTTTGGAGTTTTGGAGAATGTGGTGAAATCTAGGGTCCATCTGGGTGGAAATGTGGTCTGCTTCTTAGTGGATTCTTGGGTTGGATGCAAGGAGGTCATCAGGCTGTCTAGAGAAGCAGTAGACCGTGAGTAAAATAGACCCCTGTGGCTTGTATGGGCTTTGGTGGGGAACTTGACCACAGTCCTTGTGGCACGCACCTTATCATTCTCAGTGTCCTCTTCTGTGTAGTCATCATATAGGTCTTCGTCATCTCCATCACCAAGGGTGGGGCATTCCTTCCCTGGGTATTTGTAGATTGAAATCTTATCTGAATTGTCACACTGCACGCTGGTCACGTTGGAGGTCATGGCCTTGACATCCATACCTTGCTTCCATACGTAGACATTTTCGGTATTGTCCTGAAGCCAGCGACGAAAATAGAGGATCTCACAGTTACATAACCAGGGGTTCCCATGGAGAAAGGCAAAAGGCAGGAGGTGGTCCCCAAAAAAGCCCTTTGGTATTGTGCGCAGCAAGTTCTCTTGAAGGAGCAGGGTGTCGAGATTCTTCAGCCCATTCAGGAGCCCAGGGGGCAGCTCAGTCAAGTTGTTGTTAGCCAGACTGAGTTTCTCCAGCTTGGGTGTGGGCATCAGGAGCCCTGCGGGCAGAGTCTTCAGCTCATTGCCTTTTAGGTAGAGCTCTTGGAGGTGGCCAAGACCACGGAAGGCACCAGGAGATAGCGAGGTCAGCTGGTTGAAGGAGACATCCAGGATAGTGAGAGCAGGCAATGCCTGCCCTAGGAAGGGCAGGCTTTGCAATTTATTGTGGGATAGATCTAGGGTCCCCAGGAGTGGCAGTGTCCCATCAACCTGGAGCTTGGTCAGCTCACACTGATCTAGGTATAGCTGAGTGAGGTGAGTGAAAGGCACCAGGGATGCCATGGAGAAGCTGTACAGGAGGTTCTCACTCAAGTGGAGGATGGTTGCGTCTCTTGGCAGGTCTGGAGGCAGCACTCTCAGATTCCTCTTGTCACAGTTCACTTCTAGGTGGCTGGCCACTTTGGAGACCTCACAGGTGGGGTGGGGATGTAAGGGGCTTGGCAGCAGGAGCAACAAGAGGAGGAGAGGCATGGGGACCTGTGGGCAAGGGGGCCTTGAGTGGACCCCTCCAGCCCCTGGAAGCATTCCCCCAGGTCCCAGGTCCCTTCCCCCTGCAGCTTTGCTTCCTGAAACAGCTTCCACACCTCCCATCCTCCCCACTCCCCTCTCCCATCCTTGCCAGCAGAGCCTAAACTACTAGCTCCACCCCAGACCCCTCTCCTGCCCCAGCTCCAACCCCGGCTTACAGGCAGGCAGAAAGACCTCCGAAGGCACACAGAGCGTCTTCTAGGGTGTCAGTCGACTCAGTCCTTCTCTCTTCTAGCCCCTCAGAAGACTAAGCCAGTGTCAGGGAAGGGGATGGGGGTGAGGAAGAAATGCAGACCTGATAGGGCTTCCAGTGACCCGGAATTCCTCAGACACAAGCCCTTATCACCTCACTCCACAGCTTTCCCCCAAGCCCTTTTTGTGGTTCTCTCTTCCGCTTTCCTTTTACACAGGGGAGATGGGGGTGGACTCCTCCAAACACAGCCTTCCACCATCTTTTAGAAACCTCTCCAGGGCCAGGCACAGTGGCTCACACCTGTAATACCAGCACTTTGGGAGGCCAAAGTGGGCAGATCACAGGTCAAGAGTTTGAGACCACCCTGACCAACATGGAGAAACCCCGTATCTACCAAAAATACAAAATTAGCTGGGCGTGGTGGCGCATACCTGTAATCCCAGCTACTCGGGAGTCTGAGGCAGAAGAATTGCTTGAACCTGGGAGATGGAGGCTGCAATGAGCTGAGATGGCACCATTGCACTCCAGCCTGGGCTGGAGCAAAACTCCATCTCGAAAACAAAAACCTCTCCAGATGCCACCTTCTCTTCCTCTTCACAGTTGCATTCTGAGAGTTGCCTAGTTTTAATTCTCTCCTACCTCACTCCTCTCTGCCTTCTCACCCCAGTTTATGCTGCTTTCTTCCCATTGTTACTCCATTGACTTGGTTCTTACCAAAGTCTTTAATGCCCTACCTTCTCTACATCCACTGTGATCTTTTTTTTTTTTTTAGATGGAGTTTCGCTCTTGTTACCCAGGCTGGAGTACAATGGCGCAATCTCGGCTTACTGCAACCTCCACCTCCTGGGTTCAAGCAATTCTCCTGCTCAGCCTCCCGAATAGCTGGGACTACAGGCGTGCGCCACCGTGCCCAGCTAAGTTTTGTATTTTTAGTAGAGACGGGGTTTCACCATGTTGACTAGGATGGTCTCGATCTCTTGACCTCATGATCCACCCATCTGGGCCTCCCAAAGTGCTGGGATTATAGGGATGATCCACCGTGCCCGGACTTTTTAAATTTTTATTTATTTATTTATTTTTTAAAGATGGGGTTTCACCATACTGGTCAGGCTGGTCTCGAACTCTTGACCTCAGGTGATCCGCCCACCTCAGCCTCCCAAAGTGCTGGGATTACAGGCATTAGCCACCACGCCCAGCTTTTTTTTTTTTTTTTTTTTTTTTTAATTGAGATGGAGTCTCACTCTGTTGCCCAGGCTGGAGTGCAGTGATGTGATCTTGGCTCACTGCAACTTCCACTTCCGGAGTTCAAGTGATTCTCCTGCTTCAGCCTCCTGAGTAGCTGGGACCCACCACCATGCCCGGATAATTTTTTTTGTATTTTTAGTAGAGACAGAGTTTCAACATGTTGGCCAGGCTGGTCTCAAACTCCTGAGCTCAGGTGATCCTCCCACCTTGACCTCCCAAAGTGCTGGGATTACAGGGGTGAACCACTGTGCTTGGCCTTCTCCACTGTAATCTTACTTGATTTCACAGCCTGCATACTCATGGCTCTTTGCCCCTTGGGATTCTCCCTTTGGCCTTTGTGACACATAATTTTTGTGACCCTATAATTTTCTTGGTTTTCTTCTTACCTGTTTGGTTGGGCCTTCATAGATTCCCCTGCCCCTGGGGTTTGTGCTTAGGCTCTCTTCTTTCCTTTTTTTTTTTTTTTTTTTTTTCTTTTTTGAGACTGAGTTTGTCACCCAGGCTGGAGTGCAGTGGCACAATCTCAGCTCACTGCACCCTCTGCCTCCTGGGTTTAAGTGATTCTCCTGCCTCAGCCTCCCAAGTAGATGGGATTACAAGCGTGCACCACTGCATCTGGTTAATTTTTGCATTTTTAGTAGAGATGGGGTTTCACCATGTTGGTCAGTCTGGTCTCAAACTCCAGACCTCAAGTGATCTGCCTGCCTCAGCCTCCCAAAGTGTTGGGATTACAGGCATGAGTCAACATGCCTGGCAGGCTCTCTTCTTTTCTTTTCTTTTTTTTTTTTTTTTCCGAGATGGAGTCTTTCTCTGTTGCCCAGGCTGGAGTGCAATGGTGCAGTCTTGGCTCACTGAAACCTCCGCTTCCCGGGTTCAAGCGATTCTCCTGCCTCATTCTCCCAAGTAGCTGGGATTATAGGTTTTTGCCACCATGCCCAGCTAATTTTGTATTTTTAGTCGAGATGGGGTTTCACCACATTGGCCATGCTGGTCTTGAACTCCTGACATTGTGATCTGCTTGCCTCGGCCTCCCAAAGTGCTGGGATTACAGGCGTGAGTCAGTGAGTCACCTTGCCCGGCCTTCTTCTTCTTTTTTTTTTTTTTGAGACGGAGTTTTCCTCTTGTTGCTCAGGCTGGAGTGCAATGGAGCAATCTCGGCTCACTGCAACGTCCACCTCCCAGGTTCAAGCGATTCTATATTTTAGTAGAGACGGGGTTTTGCCATGTTGGCCAGGCTGGTCTCGAACTCCTGACCTCAGGTGATCCACCTGCCTTGGCCTCCCAAAGTGCTGGGATTACAGGTGTGAGCCACTGTGCCCGGCCTTCTCTTCTTTCTTATGCTATGCAAACACCTGAGATTATCCTCATCTATTCCCTTGCCTTCGACCACAACCTACAACCTAATGACTCTCAAATCTGTGTCTCTAGTCCAGAGCCTTCACCGGAGACCCAAACACATATGTCCAGCTGCCTTCTGTATGTCCGTACTTGGATGTCCACAGACACCAAAACAATATGTTCAAAACTGAACTCATCATCTCTCCCCAAATGGCTTCTCCTCCTGTGTTGCTCAACCTAGCGAATGTCACCATCACCCACTCATTTACCTAACCAATCAGTACAAACAAAATCCCTAATAGTCTTCTCTAACATCTCCCCTCTTTCATCCCATCACCAAGTCCTGCTGATTTTATCTTCGGTCTCTCTCAAAGCTACTCAAATTTGCACCATCCTACCATCACTCCTAGTCCAGGGCTGCTGCTGCTGCTGCTCCTCCTCCTCCTCCTCCTCCTCCTCTTCCTCCTCCTCCTCCTCCTCCTCCTCCTCCCCTCCTTCTCCTCCTCCTCTTCCTTCTCTTCTTTTCCTTCTCCTTCTTCTTTTTTCCTTTTTGAGACAAGGCCTTGTTTTGTCTCCCAGGCTGGAGTGCAGTGGCGCAATCCTGGATCACTGCAATGACAAACTCTTGGATCCAAGGATACTCCCACTTCAGCCTCCCAAGGTGTTGTGACTACAGGCATGCATCACCATACCCAGCTGATTCTTAAATTTTTTTCTAGAGACAGAGTCTCATTTTGTTGCCTAGGCTGGTCTCAAACTCCTGGGCTCAAATGATTCTCCCACCTGGGCCTCCCAAAGTGTTGGGAGTACAGGTGTGAGCCACCATGCCCCGCTCAGGGCAGCATCTTCTCGCTACTGCTTCCCTGCAACAGCACCCTCACTAGTCTCCCAACTTTCTGATTCCTCTTCTTTTTATTCTCCACTGGAGTGGTCTTTCAGAACTGCACATCTGCTCATATCCTTCCACTGCTTGAAATTCACGAATGGGCTGGGCACGGTGGCTCATGCCTGTAATCCTAGCCCTTTGGGAGGCCGAGGTGGGTGGATCACCTTAGGTCAGGAGTTCAAGACCAGCTTGGCCAACATGGCAAAACCCCATTTCTACTAAATATACAAAAAGTGAGCAGGGCATGATGTCAGGTAGCTATAATCCCAGCCACTGGGAGGCTAAGGCAGGAGAATTGCTTGAACCCCAGGGGTGTTGGTTGTAGTGAGATGAGATAGTGCCACCTCACTCCAGCCTTGATGAAAGAGTGCAATTCTGTCTTGAAAGAAAGAAAGGAAGGAAGGCGGGGGAGGGGAGGGGAGGGGTCACCAGTGGCTCCTTATAGCTCTCAGGAGGAAAGAAAGCAAGAGAGAAAAGAAAAGAAGGAAGGAAGAAATAAAATAAATTAATTCACCAATGGCTCCTTCTAGATCTGAGGAGAAAGTCTAAAGTCCCCAGCATGGCCTGGAGGGTCCTGGGAGATCTCACCTTTGCCTCCTTTTTACCATCTTTTAAAAGATGGTAAAAAGGAGGCAAAGGTCCTGCCCCATCTTTTACCACTCTACCTTTACTCTTTTTTTTTTTTTTTTTTTTGTTGAGACGGAGTTTCGCTCTTGTTACCCAGGCTGGAGTGCAATGGCGCGATCTCGGCTCACCGCAACCTCCGCCTCCTGGGTTCAGGCAATTCTCCTGCCTCAGCCTCCTGAGTAGCTGGGATTACAGGCACGTGCCACCATGCCCAGCTGATTTTTTGTAGCTTTAGTAGAGACGGGGTTTCACCATGTTGACCAGGATGGTCTCGATCTCTTGACCTTGTGATCCACCCGCCTCGGCCTCCCAAAGTGCTGGGATTACAGGCTTGAGCCACCGCGCCCGGCCTCTACCTTTACTCTTGATCATTTTCTCCTGTGCCTGAACTTTTTCTTCAACCCTTATCCCCTTCTGCCTAACTCTTACTTATTTGGCAAGTTCCAGCTCAGATTTTTTCCTCTGGAAAGCCTTTTCTGATTTCTCGAGACCAGGTTAAATGTCTATTACAGAAAGTCAGACACCATGCCATGTCTGTTGGTCCACTGCCCTTTTTATTTATTATTTATTTTTTGAGACGGAGTCTTGCTCTTGTTGCCCAGGCTGGAGTGCAACGGCATTATCTTAGCTCAATGCAACCTCTGCCTCCTGGGTTCAAGCAATTCTCCTGCCTCAGTCTCCTGAGTAGCTGGGATTACAGGCGCATGCCACCATACCCAGCTAATTTTTGTATTTTTAGTAGAGATGGCATTTCACTATGTTGGCCAGGCTGGTCTGGAACTCCTGACCTCAGGTGATCCACCTGCCTCAGCCTCCCAACGGGTTGGGATTACAGGCATAAGCCACCATGCCCAGCCAGTCCACTGCCTCTTCTATGATGAGAATGTGCCCCTGCACTGTTCTGCAGAAGGGGTACCATGCAGCCATCTGAGCCTGCCCTGATCTGCTTCTAGCTGGTGACTGGACAAGGGATAGACACTTAAGCCAGATGCAGTTAATTTATAGATTTGCCATTTATATAATTTGCCAGCTGCGAGGTTATTGGAAAATGTGGAGAAAACAATGCAGTATATAGAAAGTGAGGTGGAAGGTTGCCTAGAGGTCCTTACATTGAGTAAGGACCCCAAGCCCTGAGGCTGTTATTTTTTTGTTTATTATTTTTTTGTTTATTATTTTTTTGACACTCAGGCTGGAGTGCAGTGTCACGGTCTCAGCTCACT